CACTGGATAGATAGCACTTTATAACAATCATTGTAAAGTTCGATATAGATATACCATTATGCTTTCCATGATTTCTATAGATGTTCTAGTATTTTTATTGTATATTTTCATATTCTCATCTTTCATTAAGATATATAAAGGTCACATGAGATTGTAGATTTAATTGATATCGAGAGATAATATTAATGAATATATGAACATTGATCAACAAAAATGTGCACATATTGTCATGTTATTGAATTGCATAAAAATGGATTGATAAGGAGGATTCAATGTCATAGTAACCATCCAATCTAAATTTACAAAAACTTCATAAATCGCCCACTGGAATAATTAGTTTAATTAGGTAATTAGTATAAATTATTCAATCACACTTGGCTATTCAATTAAGGAACATTAATTGATCATTGACTAAGTACGTAGTCCTTGTGGAAACGATATCTTACTTATCACTTGATTACTTGTTCGGGATACCATATACTTCAAATTTTCGAACGGTCAAATTTTTAGCATCGTTGCTGGAGACTGTAGTAATTAGTTAGTTTTAGGTTTAATTTGGGTTTTTGTTGCTTTATTAGTTATTAATTTCATATTAGAAAAAAAAATACAGTATTTTTCTCTTTCTTTTCAAGTTCTAGCGTATAAAATTCGAAACAAGGTGTTCTTGCTCCATTTGATCCGAAAATTGAACAAACATTTAGGTTGAGAAGAAAAGAACAGTTAGAAGCACAGAAAGCAGAATCAATGGCAGAAAATATACAGAATCAAGTGGACATTGGGATGAATGAAAATGCAACACATCTAGTTGTAGCTGAGGGAAATAAAAACAAGACTGATGGGGGGAATACATGGTTCCGCCAATGGTAGAAAGCAGATCCGACATTTGGGAAGCTAATTTCACTTGAAGATGGACGTGATAAACATATTCATGCATGCTTTGCAATTCTTTGGGAAAGCTACTGAAAATCCAAATGCTAACATCTCGAGATTTTTGGATGTGTGCATTAATAGTATATTCGAAGATTTCCAGTGATGCAATTGGACTGAGACTATTTCCATTCACTTTGAGAGATTCAAATAGATAATGGTTGAACACATTCTCACCTCCCAACATCACTACTTGGATAGCGTAAGCTAGAGACTTTTAAATAAATACTTCCCACCAGAAATGATTGCTAGGTTTACAGATGAATCACAACATTCTCTTAACTTGGTTTGAAGTATTATTAGGAGGCATGAAAAAGATACAAAATTCTACTTCGTCAGTGTCCACAACATCGTTTACAGAAATGACTTCAAGTCCAGTACTTCAACATCTGGTTGAATTCGACAAGCAGGGCTAATGTGACTCTATTTGAAATGGATGAATTAAAAAAAGACAGTTGATCAAATATCTCAAATAATGGAAGATCTAGCTTACACTAATGCATTGTGGCCAATAAAAAGATCAAGTAAAAAGAAAGTTGTAGGGATGTACAAGGTTGACACTGACAACAATTTAAGTACATCTAGTTATACTATCTGAAAAGGTTGACAGTATGGCAACTAATTAGACAACAAATTCAGTTCAGCTAGCTGGACCAAGTTACAATCATTGCGGGCGAAATCATGAAAGTGTAGATTGTAATATAGGAAGTCCTTTTGCTTAATCAGTTGAAGATGCAAATTATATACAGAATTTTCGGAGGCAGCAAAAAATCTCTATTCAATATATGCAATCCAGGTTGGAGAAATCATCCAAACTTCTCCTGAAATAACAAGCAATTTTCTCAAGGTGCACCAGATCAAAATGTACCAACGGGTTTCCAATAGCCAGAAAAGAAGCCCTCATGGGAAGAAGCGTTAAGCATAATGGCCGTATCATCAATTGAATCATTGACTAAAGTAGCTGAAGCATCAACTAAATTTATGCAACTCACTAAGAAAAATTTTCAATTTCAAGGACTACTCTACACAAGATTTGAAAAATAGGATATGGTAAATAGCTAAATCACTTTAAAAAAGACAGCCAGATGCCCTGCCAAGTGACATTGAAACAAATCCTAAATAGCAGCTAATGGCAATAAATGTTGTGAAATATGAGGTCGACACACTACCAATCAAACTTGTTCCAATTACATGAGATTATGTACCACATATCCCATTTCCTCAAAGGCTTTGAAAAAGACTAAAAAAGAGAACAAATTAGACAATTACTACGTCCAGTGGGGTTCGACTTCCAGAAATCACAATTAAGAGTCATGTTGTATTGAATGAAAATGTATCTTCTACAAATGAAGAACACATGGATCTATTTGAACACTCAGAAAAAATAGTTTCAGATCAGAATTCAAATAATCTACATGTTAATGCAATTGTTTCTATCAAGACATATGTGCCTCACGTTCCCTTCTGCAAAGACCGTAGAAAAAGAAGCTTGTTATATGCATAGTGCAAGATAGTGATAATTATTTAATTTGATACACTACAACAAAAATGATCTTTTGCAACAACAAAGAGGCAACATTTATTAATTGAGTGTTGCTAAATGAGTCTATCGCATCATTTTTATAAGTGAATATTGTGATTGATTAATATAATTGAGTTTTGGTAACGTTTTTTTAAATAAATGTTGCTAATGTCGCTTTTTTGCACCTTTTTGAATATTACGAAAAGTTTCATCTTTTGCAACGTTTTTTTAATGTTGTTAAAATTTGATTTTATAGTAACATTCAGTGTCTGTTGTTAAAACTCTTAATAATTTGGAAGGTAGTTAATATTAAGTGGTTTGCCCATACAATATAGTTTTACTGATGTAAAAATAATAATATTCTTATATGTAATAAAATTGCTTTTATTTCATTTATTGTATTTATTTATAGATATAGGAAGCAATAATACTTATGAGCGCTCGGTATGCCTTTGTGTTTTTTTTTTTTTTTT